CTTTAGTGAAAACTCTTTTTATGGCCACATATACGTATACTCTGATGAGCAAATGTCCCACTAAAAACTGGAAGTTCTATTCCTCAAGAAGATGGGAAAATAGATACAGGGATATGACCAGGAAGCTCCTCCACATCTACCTTCTAACTAACTGCTGCTTCCTTACACGAGCCTGCCAGTCTAGTTAAACTCTCTCCACGTCCATTGAAACAAACTCTTCAAAAACACTCCAGCCCGCAGTTGTCTCTGTCCTTTAAACTAGAGAAACTGTTGATTTGGCAGCCAATCAGGAACTTATTTTGTAACAGCCTTATTAACACAGTCCTAATGATTAGAGCATTGTTTAAATTTTCTACCTTGTCTGATCCCTTCAGCTAGATCGAGGGGAGAACCTAAGCCCTACATATCCTGTCTCCCAACTGCTATCAATTGGCATGTTGCCTGGCACGTAATACAACTTAATGACTATGTTCTAGTTTACCTAACAGGCTGGCAGCACCAACCTAGAATATATCACTTCTATTCCTTTATTAGGGAGGGATTTTGCATCCTGTGTTATGATGTGCAGTATTTACAGTTTAGCTGAAAGGATAGGTGTTATAAGACACTAATATAGGCAAAATCTTATTTGGGAAACAAGATCAACTCATAGAGTCCCTTCCTCTACTCAATAAATCTTTTTTTTTTTTTTTTAATTTTTTTTTCAACATTTATTTATTTTTGGGACAGAGAGAGACAGAGCATGAACGGGGGAGGGGCAGAGAGAGAGGGAGACACAGAATCGGAAACAGGCTCCAGGCTCTGAGCCATCAGCCCAGAGCCCGACGCGGGGCTCGAACTCACGGACCGCGAGATCGTGACCTGGCTGAAGTCGGACGCCTAACCGACTGCGCCACCCAGGCGCCCCATCTACTCAATAAATCTTAAAGACCAACAATAGATAATGAAAGGATATGAGAAAAAAAAAAAAAGATCTTCAATATTTTATTTTAAAAATAAAAAAACAAATTTTCAAACATTCTGAGGACTGTTAGGCATGGAAAACAAATTTAGGGCTGTATTAGAAGATGTATTGGGCCCCATGACCTTTGAATTGTTTTTTCTGAAATGGCAGTGGATTGGGGTAGAGTAGATTCAGAGGACATTCTTTGTAACCTATGCCCTGTATTTATGAATTAAGAGTATGAAATCTGTGGTCATGGGAAGTGCATAACTGGACAACTGGGAATTTAAATCTATGGCCTTGGTTTCATCATTGCTGTAACACATAAGTTTCTCTTAATGTAATCATACTTATACGATGAATTTCGGGAGGATTACAGCCTTTGTTCCACAACTAATACATTCCTTCTTATATTCTTTATACTTCATGAAATCCTTTCATAGTTCTTTGAGGTTAGTTTATCTGATCCTATGAATCTTTATTTAATACATGAAGAAACTGTGGCTTAGAGTTTAACTTACTTCAGGCTGTATAACAAATGAGTGGCTATCCAGACTCAATCTGTTTTTGTTTTCGTTCTCGTTTCTTAACTCTAGGTCATTATGCTGTATTATATGACATTGGAACTCAGAGTCATTGAAGGCACATTCTTTTCTGGATGCCCTTGGTAGAGACCCAGGATTCTCATGTGGATTTCCTCAAGAGAAGAATTCTGCCATTATCTATCTAGACTAATATCTTTTGAAATAACTTGCAAGTCTGTTTGTATTTGCTTAAAAATAAGTGTTTACAGGGTGCCTGGGTGGCTCAGTCAATTAAGTGGTTAAGTGTCTGACTCTTGATTTTGGCTTAGCTCATGATCTCACGGTTGGTGAGATTGAGCGGGTGTCGGGCTCAGTGCTGACAGGGAGGAGCCTGCTTGGGATTCTCTCTCTCCCTCTCTGTGCCTTCCCTGCCCACATTCATTCTCTCTCTCAAAATAAATAAACTTAAAAAAAAAAATAGGTGTCTGGGGTGCCTGGGTGGCTCAGTCTGTTGGGTGTCCAAGTTTGGCTCAGGTCATGATCTTGCAGTCTGTGAGTCTGAGCCCCATGTCAAGCTCTGTGCTGACAGCTCAGAGCCTGGAACCTGCTTTGGATTCTGTTCAAACTTTCTGCACCTCCCCCACTTGCTCTCTCTCTCTCTTTCTCTCTCTCTCAAAAATAAAATAAACATTAAAAAAAAAAGAACAAAAAATGGGTTGTTTAAAGCAAGATGTATTTGAGAAATTTAAGATTCCCAAATGTGAGATTCTGAAATTTTCACCATAAAAAGAAAAACAACAACAGTAGTTAACATACATGCTAGTGTTTGACACGAGATAGTAACAGGTCATAGAAAGTTTGGCAGAGTTAGGATAGGGCCATTAAGGAGAGAGTCAATAATATTGGGACCATCTACTTCATGTTAGTTTAGATTTTCATGACAAAAGAGGACTTAAATAGCTAATTAGATATGGTATTGAACAAAAGAATTATATTGCTCTGGTATGTATATTATATATGAGTATTGGTATAAACACAAGTATAGGAGAGATAATCCAAGAATATTAACATATTTGCACCACACATTTTCCAGGGAAGCAAAAAGAGTAGGCAATCACAAAACTGCTGTGAAACAGAGGAAAGTGATATTATACTGTTACCCAGAGGAAGAGGAAAACTATGGAATGTATTAAACTAATTTTGGATTTTAGTTTGGAGGTTGGATGACTTGGTTGTGTCTACTTGGGCAGGCCTCAGGCTTGCTGCTTTCATTTCAAAGGAAGACAATGTACTAGACAGGAAAAAATATTTAGGAATCAAAGATACTTTATTTCAGCCCTCCCCAGCTTCCAGTGTAGAAGATAATCTCATAGTTATTTTTTTAAAATTTATTAGTTTTTAAAAATGTACATCCAAGTTAGTTAACACATAGTGCAATAATGTTTTCAGGAGTAGAATCCAGGGATTCATCTCCTATGTATAAGATAAACTCACAGTTATGATTGAGTGCTTACTGTGTGACAAACACACGTTAGAAGGTACATTGCATACCCTCTCTAATCTTTCAACAACTATGTGAAAGATTTCTTTAAACTGGTTTTTTTTTTCAAATGTTAATTTTTGAGAGAGAGAGAGAGAATGAGCGGGGAGGGGCGGAGAGAAAGGGGGACAGGGAATCTGAAGCCAGCTCTGGGCTGACAGCAGAGAGCCCAATATAGGGCTCAAACTCACGAACCGTGGGATCATGACCTGAGCCAAAGTCAGATGCTTAACTGGCTGAGCCACCCAGGCGTCCCAATACTATACCCTTTCCATAGAAGAACCAGAAGTTCCAAAGAGTAACTAAGATGACACAGTGAGAAAGAAGAGTAGAATTCATTTCTGCCTATTCCTGAGCTCATTCTATTAAACTCTATATGGTGAGGCAACAGTGAATTCCTTTAGTTGAGCCTCATAACAAAGAGAACATATTCTCTAAAATAGAAAATGTACTAATGTCGGTTTGTGAGTTATGTATCAGAAAGGCTCAATGGAGGCTAGGTTATGAAACACATCAGGTTTCATAGCTTTTTATTATCATTATATCAGTGCAGTTGGGGAACTAATTAACTCTTGCTATTGATGACATCATTAACAATTCCTCAGTTCCAAGGGGGAGGAATACCTTAGTATCAAAATTGAGAACCTCTTCTCTAGAATATATCTCTCAGAAATTAGACAAGTCCTCTAATTTGATAAAATCTTTCAAACTGAAACCCAATCTAAAGTTCGTAAGAATACAGAGTTTACAATTTCTTCACGTCGGAAATACTGTTAAAGTGTAATAACTGTAAATATGAAAGATTTAGATCACTACGAGTATCTGGAGATGTACACAGGTGTTATTAATCTATTAGTTGGAAGACTAAGTAGCTGGCATTACGATAGTACTCTGTGTACAGGACAATTTTTTAAGCCCACCATTTGCAATTGATTACACGGACCATCTGTAACTGTCTGTGAATCATGTTAGAAGTTACCCCACTGACATTTATCGAACATTTGTCATGTAGCAAAATGTTTTGTATAGAAAAGTTGACACATAATGGCTTTCAGGTTTCACTAAATCAACTTCAGATTCCAGGCTATAGGTACAACCCATTGATGTGTAGTATCCAGAAAAATGTGGCTTATGATTCGATTAAAGAATACGGCCTCACTCCAAGCCCTCTGTGCGTAGACCAAAAGGTCTTTTGTTGACACCGAGGTGACTTTGCTCCTCCGTTTGTTCCCCTGGAAGTATCTCGTTGGGGGGGGGGGGCCCAAGCTTCAAAAGTGGTGAGGAAAGAAAACGTGGGAGATACAGCTAAAAATGACGTGGGAGTAGCGGGTCGTGATCGGTCGGAGGCAGGGTATTTGCCCAGGGGGAAGAAACGCGAAATGTCTGTTGAGCTTCTGGTTCACTGAGGAGTGGGGGCTACTCTCGCTCGACGCGTACGCGCCACCTGTCAGACCAGAGGAGACGCTGGGGATAGAGAGGGGGGTGGGGAAGAGGGTGCCCCGGGCCCCGGAAAAAGGCGGCCGGCGGGTCTCGTCCTTCGAAGCGCTCCAGTCCGGATGGTAGGGCGGTTAGGGAGGGGGAAAAGAGGGCGAGCTAGGCCCGGAGGCCACAACGCGTAACCTGCGAGATCAGGTTGGGAGACTGGGGGCGCTACCCCGCGCCCCTCCCCTGAGCCTCTCAGCTCCTCCTCCCAGACACGTGACCACAGCCGGCGGGTCTCCTCGCTCCCGCTGGGTAGCTCGCTCTGTTTCTTCCCTCCCGCCGCCTTGCCCTTCTTCTCCTCGGTTCCCATCCCTCCGCCCTCCCCCCACCTCCTTCCCCACGCCCCAATAGCGACTCGAGCTGCGAAGTGCCCGCCCCTCCGCCCTATTCTTCGTTTGTTCATTGGCTGAGGCCTCAAGGACGCGTCCCGAGGGCGGGTGGCAGCCATTGGTGGGATGAGCAATCCGAGTTCCCGGATGAGGGAACATTCTGCAGTATAAAGGGAGCGGGGAAGGCGGGAGACAGCGCAGTTTGAATCGCGGTGCGACGAAGGAGTAGGCGGTGGGATCTCGCTGGCTATCTGACTAGTCTTTTCTCTGCCTTGCTTGTTTGAGCTTCAGCAGAATTCGAAATGGTAAACTTCGCGGAAGCGCTCGCAGACTCCGCGGGTTTTTGCCGATGGGAGAAAAACCCGTTACACACGGGAGATGGGGGTGAAGTGGCGACGGTTGGGAACGCGCGGAGACAGGATTTGGAAGAGCGGGGGGGAGGTGTTTTGTCGGCGGCGAGCGGAGCAGCCTCCGATCTCGCGGCGGGCGGCGACGGTTGGGTGGCGCGCGCAGCGCCGCTGGGGGCCGCCGGGCGGACGGAGGCGCGCGGCCGCGGCGAT